AAACCACTCAATATACGATTTAGTCCAAAGAGAGTCACTATATAATAACAAACACAGGCGTAAATACTCCACACAGTTATTATATAGAAGATGCCCAAGCAAGATTTTCCGTGGTCCAAGCTATGCCTATAAATTGCACAACCAAGAAAACAATTAACTAAATGAAAAGGATAAAAAGCTTTGTATATAGTGTCGACCATGATCGGAAACTCTAACAATATCCTACGTTATTCCAAATTGAATGTGATAAGGCGTACTAACGTTACATTTATCGACATAATGAGATTCAATTAAATTAGATCGTTGCATTAGCACCATTAAAATATTAAACCATTAAAATATTAAACACATATGTACGGTGCAAATTTATGAAATAATCGTACAATGTCTCAGCATTTAATTTCAATTTCTATACTTGTTTTGTCATCTCTCTATTATGTATACAAAATGAATCCTTATAATACAGTCATATAATATGTTATTATTAATATACTGTAATGTTTAAGCAATGCAGTTACAAAAAAATTATAGTTACTGAAAACAAATACTAGCAAGTCTAAATAAAATGGTATAAAACTTTAGAATCTTAAAATATTTTGGGCGACATTTGACCTGTTTTTTAAATTACTGTAGCTTTTAAGACGCGCAACTACACATGAAAAAGAAACTGAAGAGAAAGAGAGAAATCGAGATATAAAGAAAACAGATATAAATATTTTGTAATAGTTATAATAATCAATTTCTTTTGGTTTTTTAAGAAATGCTGATACAGCAAATCTATTTGAATTAATTTTATTATCACACATTAGTTATTCGTCAAGATGATAATAATATAATTTACATGTATTTAAAAATTATTATATTATATATTGTTCATTATTTATTTATTTTATGAATTTACTTAATTGTGATAAGTACATATTTCTTTCGCATGAGCTGATTATAATATAGGAAATTTGAAGTCTTATTCATAATCAATAACGGATTTATTTTTTCGAGTACAATTATTATTATCAATAATTGTTTACAGCCAATGTTTTATCAACTTAATAATTAGAAATATACGGATATCAAATAATAAACTGAAAAGATACTATAGAACTTTTCAGAAATATATATGTTTTACTCATCATTTACACATGTTACATTATTTACGCTAGAAATTAAAATTCGAGATAGAGGAGAATTATCCATTTGCACCATACAAATCACAATAGAAATAAGTGCTATGAAGAACTGGAAATAAAAATTAAATATAATTATAGTTGTCAAATGTTTATTTGCCAAATTTTTAAATTAAAAATTTTCAAATGGCATTACACATATATGCATGGAGATGCGAATAATATTTTTAGCTAACCTTACGAATAAAGTTGTAACCAAACTGAAACAGGCCCATACCGTTAAAATTTAACGGTCGAAGTGATATTTGAAGAATAAACTGACAAATCTGCATTGTAATTTAAGAATTATTTAACAATTTTTAATAAAGATTATCTAAAATTATAAGATTTTATTGAGATTTAGCTTACATCTTTACGTATCTGGACAAAATGGACAAGATTTGTCAAATTATAAATTATATTCTTGGTTTTTTTCATCTAAAATAATAAATAGTAATAAAAATAATTTTCCATATATTGTAAATTATTTGTTCTTACAATATATAAAAGTCATTTAAAAGCTCACCTTGGAGTTAATGCTTTCGCAGATATAATTTATTGCTAGGACTTTTGTGAAAAATATTATGCACCATAAATTCATCTGAATAAAAAATATTAGTTTCATTTCTTCAATGTCTCCGTGACTTTGTTTGAAACATAGCAATATATGATATTGGAAATAAACTATTCCGGTTAAAAATATAAAATGAGATATCGTCTGCAGAGTCATTTGAATTCCGAAAAGCCCATTTATATTGCGTGTTATTCGACAAAGTTCCAAATGAAGATGCCTAGAAAAATTTGAATAAATAAATATATCTATGATATAGAAATTTAACTATTTACATATTTATTGTTTTGATTAGGACGCTACATGCATGCAATAATGTTTATTTATTTAGATTTAATTGTTATCACATATATATGTAATCAAAAGTGTTAAATAATATTATACAGTTACAAGTTTACATAAATTATTTTGTCACAAAGTTGAAGAAAATTATTAATATTTATACTTACGTTATACTTTAGAAATTAATTATTTAAATTTGTCAAGCTTTCGTAAATAGATATAAAAAGCTAAATAGATGATAAATTGTCACAAAACAATAAAATAATGCTATCTGTAAAGAAGATTGTAATAAAATAAAATTGTCTTTTATATTAAAATAAGTCCCTCAACTCTGTAATTAATATTTTTATCACATTTACATTGCAGTCCACAACACATGCTCGCGATTTTTAGCATTTCGTACATAGTAACGAGTGACAAGAGATTTTTTCCTAGTGCATCTCAATTCACATTCAGTCTCTGATAGTTGCCCAATAGAGTTGTTGATTTTATCGAATCTAGTACCAATGTATCTGTAATTTAGAGCAAATTAGGAAATATTAGAATAATACGCTTATTGAGTACTTTTATTTATCTCAGGCTAAAAGTATCTCACTTTTTGTTTACTTCTTACTTAAAGTACTTTAAAAAAAATAAAATTTTTTAAGATAACATTTTTATAATTTTAAACATTTTTATAAATTTAAAGATTTTTAATATTTACAACATTGTTTATATAATTTAAGAAAAAGTTCACAATAAATTTTACAAACCTTAACAAAAACATAAATGCTACCTCCATAAAACAGTTGGCGTAGAAAGGATAATTTAATACAATTGGGATAATTATGTTCCTTGAGTTCGAATACTTTAATGTGGACCAGAAAATTTCAAATGTCCATGTTATGCAAACAATCATAAACCATATAATCACTATCCATTTTATCCAGTTTCGCATTTTACAATATTCCTTAGGTGTACCAAGCTGTTCCAACGTATCGTTTATGAGATCGAGATTTTTTATATACGTAATGATTTTCTAAAAATTACAGTAACAAAAAAGATATAATACAATAAATATCTTTTCGGTATGCAGAAAATTATATGTATATATATCGACACATGTTTATAAATTACAAAGTAATTAATAAAGTAATTAATAACAAAGTAATAATTTGTAAAATAATCTCATTAAATATTATATTAATTTATGTAATATAGACAAAATATATACAAACCACAATTTATTCCTTAAATGTAATATTATGATATTTTTAATTATCCAATAATTAAAAATAAGACATCTTGCATTTTAGAAACATAAAATTATATTTTATATAAAAGAAAGAAAAATGGATTATTTAATTTATATTTATAATTAAATTTAACATTACCAAATATATTTTTTAAATAATTATAGTAATAAATAATTTAAAATTTATAGAGATTTTATTTCTTGATATTTGTTTTACTGCACGTGTCACATAATTTACGTTATAATGAAACATTCACATAAAAAATGTACCTTATGTTCACAAATATTATTGATTACAGATATTATGGTCACAATGAAATTTGTTATAAATGCGAAAAACATTAAAAAGCCACGAAATATATACTTTGGTCCAAAAAGTGTCATTATATAATAACAGACACAGGCGTAAATACTCCACACAGTTATTATATAGAAAATGCTAAAACAAGGCCTTGCATGATTCAAGCTATTTCTATAAATTGTAAAACCGAACCAACAACTAACTATGTGAAAAGGGTATAAAGCTTGGTGTATAGTGTCGATCATGATCGCTAACTCTACCAATCTTCGTATGGCAACTATTAGATTCCAAATTGACGGCATAGTGTCCTAACGCGTTATGTTGTTTATCAGCATGATGAGATCAAATTTAATTAGATCGTTGCATTAACACTGTTAAAATATGAAATAATAATATAGATGTACTTGAAATAATCGTTACTCACATAATTGTTACGTACAAAATATATCCATGTATTACAGTCATATGATATGTTATTATACCGTAATATACCGCAATTTTTAAGCAATGAAATTACAAACGAAATTATAATTACTAAAAACAAATACTAGCAATTCTAAATAAAATGGCATAAATTTAGAATTTTACAAAATTTTGGGCGAAATATGGTTTATTTAATTTAAATTACTGCGCAAAGTCTAAGTCGCACATGACTATATACACGGAAAAAAAAATCAAAAGTGGAAAAGAAAAGTTACGATATAAAAAAAACAGTTATACAATTTTTTGTAATAATCAGTATAATTATTTTCTCCTAATTAAAAAAAAATGATCTTAACAAATCTATTCAAATTATTTTGCTAACACATTATTCATCAAGATGATAAAATAATATAATACATATGTGTATATTTCAATTATTGTATTATCATGTATTATTTACTTCCTTTATGAATTTACCTAATAGCATAGTTGATCATTGATACTGATAATGTAGATAATATTAGCTCCAATAATTGTCAAACAGCTTCTAACTTAATAATAAATATTACTTTAAATATTTAATATTAAAATTTGGCAGGCAAAGGTAAAGCGTGTGTTAATTATAGAGATAGCGGTAAATTAATAAATGGTAAATCTGTAAGAAAGGAGAGAGTTGAACAATTTATTTTTGCAATCATCAATACACAATTTTTATTTAATTTAATTTATTAATTTGCGTAAATATCGAATTAGATTTATTATATACAAATTTTATAGATAATAAATAACGTGACAAATTAAATGACGGAATATAATTATTCTAATATTGTAAAGTAATTTTTCTACTAAAAATAATTTTTTTTAATATTGAAAAGAAATTTCTACTTATGCTAAATATATATAACGTTAAATTAAAATAGTGATAAAATATTTATTATACGTACATATAATAGCAAATATTTATACATATAACTAAATTTTTAATACTTAAAATATAAAAAATAATAATTATTATATTTGGACAGATATAATATATAAAATCCTATAACAATCTGCTTCAAATTTCTAATAGAATTCATAGCATGTCGTATTCGAGATAGATTTTGTTTGATATGTTGGTATTTTATCCATTTGAATTATAATAATTATAACAGATATAATCCAAACGAGAGACTGAAAAGAAATAATTAGTATTATTTAAATTTTCCTGCTAAAGTCTAATTTTTATATTATAATAATTTTGTTGTTACAAATAAAAATAATATATTAAAAGCTAACCTTATAAAGAAATTTGTGACCATAATGAAATAGACCCATTCCGCTAAATTTTAACGGTCGAAGTAATATTTGTAAAACAAACTGGCAAATCTACATTACATATAAAATTAATTACATTATTACGAAACAGTTTATACTAATTAGAATAGGAAATTTTTTTATATCTATCTTAAATTTATCTTACTTCTTCGCGTGCTCGAACAAAACAAATAATATTTGTTAATTTTTGAATAATACCTTCGGTCTTTTGCGCCTAAAATAATGAAAAATTAATCAAATTATAATCTTAATAATTATATTATAATAACAAATTATAATCTTAATAATAATTGTAAAGTTTTCAATATTTTAATTTGACAATTATATACAATAATTATTTTGCAACTCTCTTCTATATAAAATTAACTCAAATTTTTTATTTTGAAACTAGTAATTAATTTTCCTTTTTAATTCAAATCATATTAACACATATTGACTATGATATATCATATGCAGTATTATGTGAGTAATTTTTATTTGCATATAGATATGTGTAAGAATTTTTTTTTAAATCTACCTCATAATTTATAATGTTCAACTTACTTTGGCGCTAACGCTTTCACAGATACAGTTAAATGATATCAATCTTATTAAATCGAAAACACACCATATGCTGGTACAAAGAAAAAATTTCCAATAAACAATATTATTGTTATACAATACGCATAATATTATGTGGTATTGATAATAAAACATAGTTGTCAAAGTGATGAAGTAGGACATTGTCTGCACAGTCATTTGCATTTTGAATAAATCATTTATATCGCGTGCTATTCGGTAAAGTTGCGAATGTAAATGCCTAAAAATATTGTATTATATTAATAAATATATACATTGTTGAAATATCAAAATAAAATCGTCGATCTGTTTGTGAGCGAATTATATGTATTTTTTAAAATATTTATTTGCTTTTTATTGGTACGATATATATTGGTCTATTTACATTTTATTTAAATGAAGCACAATAAAGCTCAATTTATAGCAAAAGCTCTATTTTATTGTAAAACAGTATGAAATTAATGTTTAACTTATTGTATTATAAAAAAACGCAAAAATGTAAAAATTTATTTAAGAATTTATTAAATAAATTTATTTATTATAGAGATTTTGATAAATAAATATAAAAATGCTCTCAAAATTAATGTAAAAATCTTTAAATAAAATTATAAAAAGAATAATTATATTATTTATACATCTATAATTAATAGAATTATTTCTTCTTTTTACAAAATGTTATCTTCAATTTTTTATCTTAACGTATCAATAAATTACATTGCGGTCCATAATATACATTTTCGATTCTCTGTGCTACGAATATAATGACGAGTGACCAGAGATGATTTTTTCCACATTGTAAACCCACACTCTTCATTCGGTGACAATTGGTTAATATAATTATTTATTTTATCATATCTAGTACCAATATATCTGTAATAAAAAAAACCGCTTGCTTATTTTTCTAAGCTTGCTGCAAACTGAAATTATTTTATTTATTTTTCTTGTTTAAAATAATGTGTACAATCATATGTCTTAAAATGCTGTGTTATTATTCCTTCTAAAACACACTATTAATAAATATTTTTATTTTCTCATTTCGTTTGATATCCAATTGAATATAATTACATGTGCGAAGCAAAGTTATATTATTCTTTGATAATGAAATCTCAAAAATTGCAACGCATGCATAAAATTATTATTGCAATGCATAAAATATATTAATTAATTATACAAAAAAATTAAATATCTAAATATTTAAATCTTTAACAGAGAGAGAACAACAAATAAAATTTTCTACAAGAATCTTTCGATAAAAATACCTACTTCCATTAAATTCACATATCTCCGTACATCTATCACGCTGCGCAGTTCGCGCGAAACTAATTCTCGTGCGAGATATCGCGAGCGCGAAGCCGAGGTCACGTGACCAGTAGACCCTTTGGTCATGTGACCACTGATCATGTGACTACTGGTCATGTGACCACTAGTCATGTGACCATCGGTCCCGCGCTCGTGATATCCCACACGAGAATCAGTCTCGCGCGAAACGCGCAGCGTGATGGATGTGTGGGGTGTACTAATGCAATGGAAAGGATAGAAAGAGAGAGATGTTTCGTCGGGCCCGGTTCATTTTTGGCTGTGAAATTAGGTTTCATCCTCAAGAAGTGACATTGCTGCTCAGTGTCTTGTTTGTCTCAGTAGTCTCGTGCGATACGTGCAACGTGCGAGTGGGACGTGTAAAGATGCGGAAGTCTAATGGAAAAATAGATATTTATTTATATTAAGGAAAGATTCTTGTAAAAAAATTCTTTTTTTTGTTTGCATTCTTTGAAGATTTAAATATTTAATTTTTATGCATTGCATGATTAATTAATATATTTGTATGCATGCATTGCAATAATAATTTTTATTGATTGTGCAATAATTTTAAAGTGTAAAAAACGTTTTTCAAATATAATATTCTGAAAATTTAAAGTATGCGAATCGACCAAAAACAATTTAAATCGATATTTCTACTTTATTGATTTTAGTTAATTCAAATTGGAATAATAATTATTATGCTATTAAATATTTTTAATAAAATTATGTTTATATACAAACCTTATAAGACACATAATTATTATATCTATTAAAAGATTGACGTAGAAAGTATAATCTGCGATAAATATAATAATAAAGATTATTGAATCATTATATATTTCCTTGCTGCATAAATAATTAATAGTGCATGTTATGCAAGCTATTATAAACCACATAATTATTATCCATTTTAACAAGTTTCGCATTCTACGATATTCTTTAGGTGTTCCGAGCTTTTCTAGTGTATCATTCACTTGACTGAGTTTGTTTGTCAACACGCTGATTTTCTAAAAGTAAGTCGGTTCGAAAATAATAAGTTTTTATAAATACTATATGTATACGAATAATATACATATGTGCAATGATTATTTTATATAAAGCAATAGTATGTAATAAGAGTTTTTTAAAATAAAAGTCTATAATAAATTGTTAGATTGCAAAATGCATTTAAGATAAAAAAATAAATTTAAGATAAAAATTAACTAAATTCAATTGCTTCAAAAATCAATGAATCAAAAAATAATATTATTTTAAGAATACAAGATTTTATTTTTTTGAAGAAATAAGTTTATTTTGAATTTATTGTACTAGTTAATATAAAGTAAATTTAATTTTTCTAAATAAATAAACATAAGAATGGCGTGAAATTAGTATAGACAATATTTTATGCCATTTACTACGTTTATATATATATCATACTATTGTAGCATTAACGTAACATTTTATATAAGAAAATGTACCTTATGTTCACGGATGCTGTTAGTTACAGATATTGTTGTCACAAGCAGACTTATTATTACGTATAAGTTAGTTATAGATATTGAATCACCCATAAGATTATACATGTAACAATAAAAGCCATAAGCATAAATACTCCATAAACTCAGTATGTATAAAATACTTAAACGAATTCTCGGGTAATTCAAGGGATATCTGAGAATTCCGAAACCGAGAAGAAAAGCAACTATGTAGAAAGGATTTAAAGCCTCTTCTATGGTGTCGACCATGATGTTACACAACTCTCTTTCAGTTCTATATAATAACTATTAAAGTTCCGCATTGAACACGGTGGTACACTGTGTATAAGTATCACATTTATAACAGTAACAGGATAACTCAAATTAAATTGCTTTTGCATTATTGAATTAATCGATGACATAGATGTATGATAGAATCTAATTGATTTTTATACAAAGTAGTAGTAATTATTTTTGGGTTGCAATTTGTATGCTTTTTGCTAATATATATGTACATATACATATATACACATATGTATATAAATATATATATATATATATATATATATATATATATATATACTAAACTTTTAATAATTAAAATATATAAAATAATAATTAGCAGATATAATATATGAAATAAAATAATTTGCATCACATTTTTATTCTAGAATTTGTAACAATTTGCATTATTTTTAGTCTCTTTGTTATATTCTTGAGATATAGAAGTCGTATCCATTTGAATTACAATAACAATAACAGTGAAAACCCAAGTAAAGAACTGAAAATAAAAGCATCAATTATTTATTATTATTTGAAATGCATGCTAAAATCAAATTTTTACAATAATATTTTGTTACAAGTAAAGCTAATATTAAAAACTAACCTTACAAAGAAATTTATGTCCAAAATAAAATAGACCCATTCCGGTGAATTTTAACGGCCGATGTATTATTTGCATAAGAAATTGACAAATCTAAATTATATATAAATGTATGATTATATATTATTGAAAAACAGCTTATAAAAGTTGTTTAGGAGTAGATGATTGTTATGTATGAATATCTTACATCTTGACGTGCTTGAACAAAATAGATAAAATTTGTTAATTTATGTATAATGCCTTCGGTCTTCTGCGCCTGAAATATTATAAAATTCATATTATTTATAATCTTAATTATAATTGCATAGTTTCAATGAACATAATAATTTTAATTAAACGTTTTATATAAAATTATTTGCAACCCTCTTCCGTAAATTAATTAGAATATTAGAATATATATTTTTTTTTATTTTTGAATCTAATAATTCGTTTTTTACTATTGGACTCAATCATATTAAAACAATTTTTGAAAAAGATTATTCCGGATCCAATATTATATCAAGTAGTTTTATACATATATAAATGCAAAAAAATTACTTGAAATAATATTGGATCTGGAATATCATATTTAAAAATTGTTTTAATTTGTAAAATTATATATATATAAATTTTATTTTTTTTAATATCAATTTTATATGTACGTGCAAATGTGTATGTGTATATAGGAATAATTTTTCCTTATAATTTATTGCATTCAGCTTACTTTGGCGCTAATACTTTCGTAGATATAGTTTAATTTTATTAATCTTATCAAGTCGAAGGCACACCACATGTTACTACAAACGAAAAATTTCAAACGAATAGCCTCACCATTATACATTGAGCATAATATTAGGTGGTATTGATAATAAAACGTAGTAGTTAAAGTTACGAAGAAGGACATTGTTTGTAGAGTCATTTGCATTTCGAATAAACCGTTTATATCGCGTGCTATTCGACAAAGTTGCGAATGAAGATGCCTAAAACAAACATTGTATTATATTAATAAATATGCATATTTTTGAAATATTGAAAGATAAACATCTGTTCGTGAGGCAATTATATATTTAAATCTTTATCTTATTCGAACAAATAGAAAATAAAGCAATGATCTTAACATCAAAAGCTTTATTTTAAAACAGCATAAAATAAATGTTTAACTTATATAAAAGGAGTGTAAAAGTTACAAATTTTGAAATTTATAAAATACATTTTTTATTATAAAAATTTATTTATTATAGAGATTTTGATAAATAAATATATTATAAAAATGTTTCCAAAATTAATACAAAAATCTATAAATAAACTTAGATTGATAAAATTAATATTAATAAGAATAGTTACATATTTATACATCTATAATTAATTATCTTTTTTTTATTTCTATTTAAAATTTGTCATTATATCAAATTACATTGCGATCCATAATATACGCTTGCGATTATGTGTGTTACGGATAGAGTAACAAGTGACGTGATATGATTTTTTGCACATGCATATTAGTCCACATTCTTCCGTCTCTGACAGTCGTCTAATGTGATCATTTATTTTATCATATCTAGTACCAATATAACTGTAATTGAAAAAAAATTTCTGCTAATTCTTCTAAGCTTATTGCAAGGTTTAAAAAATGAGCCTATATTGTTGTTTGTTTACATTATTTACAAAGTTATATCATAATTAAAGAAATAATAATGCATTAAAAATTTTGCATTTATATATTTAATTCCACAATCAATATGATAATCTATTAACTATACAAATATTCATAACAAGTAATATTAAAAATAACAACAATATTTTTTATTTTATCATTTATCTGACTATACCAATCAAGTTTGTGAACGATTTCCATCACGTAAACAATGCACCATTGAGCTAGTCTTGATATATTTTCACAAATATTAACATCAATACAAAACTAAAACTTACGAAAATCTGAAATTTGTATTTGGATGAATCAGAAATCTTTTAAATTAATATTTACCTCTATTTTATTGATTGAAGTTCTAGAGATTGGAAAAATAATTATCATTAATTATGTTTAATAAAAATATATTTATATACAAACCTTAATAAAACCATAACCATTATAGTTATTAAAATATTGGCATAAAAAGAGTAACCCACAACAAAAAAAAAAATAAAAACTTTTTTATCATTAAATATTTCTAAGCCACATAAAGATTGCGTAGGCCATGTTATACAAATTATCATAAACCACATAATTATCATCCATTTTATTAAATTGCGCAGT